ATTACGAATCATTTATCCCCTAAATATTTGTGGTATATTTTTGAGTAACTTTTCATTAACAATACTCATTGAAATGTCATTGTCAGCTGATAACCAATCCTCAATTTCAATCAAACTTCTAGAATAGCCATTGTTCATAAATCGAGCCCCCATCTTATGACAAGCGAGATGTTCCTAAGCAGTCACAAAGAAATGGATTTGAATTGAACAAAGCGGATAATCAGTGAAATGCCATTCAGGGAGAAGAGTCGCTGAAGAGCGAAGGCGATGAGACTAAAGGCTCGATGCGAACTGTACGTCTTGACGTGACTAGTCAAGAGAGTGTGCAAAAAGCTGTCGTTTTCACCGAAATGCACCTTTCCGGTGGTCTTCGTGAGTACTCCAAATTAATTCCTTTAATGTCCCCTTATTCAACCCCGAGGAACTGTCAACCGCCAAATGCAATCGAAAAAATGCATCGACAGTTAACATCTTAACCTATTTCGAAGCAGTTCAGGCAATGGCTGAAGTCACAACATCATAAATGAATATGATCTGCTATAATTCAGTGATCTCAGCATACTGTAAAAATGGGAAAAAAGTTGAAGTGGCGGAAAACAAAAATACATTTGCGCGAAATTGACTTGCCAAATCGCACGTTATTACTTGAAATTGATATCCGCTTTCATCATACATCATCGAATGGTGTGCGCACATTCATATTTGATTGATGTCTAGTTTTACCAGAGGGACAAGACCGTAGAAACCTGCTCACGTAATAATATTATGCCCCATGCAATTCTTCCCAATTGCAGAACTTTGGGCACTTGTCAATAACGCTGGCTTCTTTGCTTTGAACGGTCCTGATGATTGGTGCTCACTTGAAGACTATGATCAATCGTTGAAAGTCAATACGCTCGGCCATATTCGAGTTGTGCATGTGAGTCAATACTCCATCAAAATATTGCCCCTTTCTGATCGAAGTTAACGAACCTTACTTACCTTACACACCATAATGTTGCACATCATGTTCACTCAGCACTTCAAAATTTCATGTTTTCTTTAACAGTAACATTTTCGATGTTATGTCATCACCAGAATGAGATTTTCAGGCATTCAGACATTTACTGGAACGTTCTAAAGGTCGTATCGTGACCGTGACGAGTGCCACAACTCGTTTACCGTTAGCCGGAGCTTGCGCCTATACGGTCGCTCAGTCTGCAATCGAGGCTTACACGAACGCACTCAGGTGAGCCTCGTACAATCTGTTCATGTTTGAATCTGGATTCTCCAGAAATATATTATTAGATTGATATAAAAAATGCCAATAATCGCAATATATTAGCAACCGTGTTGATTGCAAGCATGCTAATGGCAAACAAAACCCAAAAAATCCCGAATGAATTAAACTCCAGACACGAAGTCCGACCATTCGGTATCACTTGCCACATTATTGAACTTGGCGTATTCCGTACGGACTTCATTGATTCCGCCTCACTGAAGGCACGACTGAATACATCCTGGGAGAAACTGACGCACAAGAAGAAAGCGAAGTATGGTGAAGAATTCAAGGATGACTGTGAGTTTCAGTTGAATTTCTCTTGATAACTGAAGAGCGATTATGTTCTGGTTAATTCCACTCCAAGTTATCTACTATTATCACTTTTGTTATTATCACCTTACCTGTGTTTTTTATCAAAATCATTATCGCTGTTTTCATTAATATTTTCATTGTTATTATTTACGTTACTCCCTCATTATACTTGCGATTAGATTAGTCAAAGCATATGATAACATTCTGAAATCCATAAAACTGATTCATGGTTTCATATAAGAGGATGTGAAATAAAGGATATAGTATTGTATAAGATATCATTATGGAAGTTATATAAGGAGTATCGAATGCAAAGTAAAAAATAAGTGATCGAAATCGGTTCCAGACATTGCCTCAGTGGATGCAGACATCCAGAAGCGTGCCTCATCGTGTCTGAACTGTGCCGTCAACACTTACTACCATTCGATCACGGCCCGTAATCCGAGACTCCGTTATCGTTGCGGTTTCGATGCACATTTCGCAAACTTCATCAGCTATCTTCCCAGCCCGTTGGCTGCTATTCTGAATGCCAAAAATGCAAAAACTCCTGGAAAACCGTCCGTGCTGGCAACAACATCAAATGAAAAGAACAGTGACAAAAAAGAGCAATAATGATCACTCTTATTGTTTCATAATAGATATCGTTGTATTCCTTTCATTCCCATCCTACCGGATTGGATCACATGTGTGTATTATACGCCATCATTATCTTTTAGAATGGTTGACTAAATCAACAATTCTGACTGATTTATCGGTTGCTTGATGTAACGACAGACGACGTTGCTAGTTGAGTTGTTTATAGCAAACATGCTTTCGTAATCGACACTCTGCACTTTTGTATTTTTTTGTTTTTGCCACGTTATCAGTTATCTACTAATCATTTCCTATTATCACGTACGGCGTTATGACATCAACTATCACTTGTCGTTCACGGACTGCAAAACATTTTGAGAGCCGAA